CCAGTGTGCGAGCCACAGATAACATGCTGAAACTCACAGCGAGCAGGCACAAAATGCACATAGGACACAGCAGTGTGGACACACAGCAGAGGCAACCACTACACCCCGTCCAGGACTGAGTGGATCCACATCCTCAGAGATGCAAATGAGCAGCCCCCTGCTGACTGCTCTACTTCCAACCCAGCTCCCTGCTAACGTACTTGGGAGAACAAGGGCACAGCCCAAGTCAGGCCCCTACACTCCTGTGGGAGACCTGGAAGGGACTGCTGGCTCCTGGTTCCAGGCCACAAAGCCAGGTGACCATCCCTCGCGCCACGGCAGCAGGCAGGCCCCTCCAAGCCAAACCCCTGGCCAGCAGGTGCCAGTCCGGCTAGGGGCAGGTGGGAGGCCAGGCACTCCCTTGAAGAACCCCCATGGACAGCAACGCTGGAGGGTCATGCAAATCTCGGCAGGGGAGAGGGGAAGATCCCTGAGGGGCCCAAGGTCTCCCGCTCCTGAAGAGAGAGAAACGGGTTGGGAAAGGTCTCAGAGACAGGGGCCAGTTCATTCTGACAAATAACGAAACTGAGGCAATACCATCCACACCGGGCAACTGAGACACCCCTGCCCGGGGTTCTGATCCAGCCTCTCTCTGGAGACCAAGGGACCACGGCAGCCAGGTGGTGCAGGGCAGTCCTCTGCGTGGCCTGGGGGGCCATGAGTCCCTCGCTCCCACCCCACGCAGACACCGAAATGGCCAGGCCAAAGCAGCCATTCTGCTCCTGGCTCAGCGTTGCAGCCATCTCTCCACCATGAACCAGTACCAAGCCAATCACATCCTCACCAGATTGTAGCCCCCCGAAATCCCACCCTTGGGGTTCTCAGCAGGGGCTCTCCATGGATTTTCCTCTCTAACCCTCCGAGACACCAGCTCACTGAGCCCTGACCAGCACTGGCAAGGTGCACACCATGTCCCACATTCTCCAACAAGGACATGGCCAAGGGCCAGCCAGCCACTGCCCAAGTAGGCAGGGACCAGGCTCCCTGGCCCACGGGACCCTGAGGGGCCCACAGCTGCTCCCAGCCATCAGACTCGAACCTGCTCTGCCCACCTCCCCCACCTCCCACACAGCACGGCAGGGCAGCTGGTGTGGGGCCCCACGTCGGGGCTGCTTTGTGAGTAAATCCACCAACAGGGCCTCAAGCCAAGGGGCAGACGCAGCTCCCAGCTCAGGCCACAGCCCCAGCCAGACACCCCATCTTGAAGGCGTTTAAAGGGTCATCTTTCCAAGACCCCCAAGCCCACAATGTCCAGTCCCCTCAAGGTCAGTGCAAGGTGGACACAGAGCTCGGCCCACACACTGGCTCTCTCTCTCTGGCTGACCCTGTTGTAACTGCAGACTCCCTGGGGCCCCAGCTGAAGGAGTCTGCGTGAGCTACCAGGTCAACCCACAGACAGACAAGATGTGGTATTTCCCTTCGGAGCACATGAGCCAGCGCCAATGCAGGAGCCACAGTAGGAGGATGAGCTGAGTGGCCGCCAGGGCTCCGTGGGAGGCTACAGCCGCAAGCATGCCTGTGCTGTGGCATTCACACTCTCCAAGATCCACCTGGGCTTAAGAAATCCACCAGGGGTCGGTGCTGTCCTGAAGTGAGCCAAGCCTCCCCTTGAGGTGCCGGCAGCTCACATGGGTGCTGGTTCGAGTCCTGGCTATTGCACCTCCAATCCATCTCTCTGCATATGGCCTGGGAGAGCAGCCGAGAATGGCTCAAGTGCCTGAGCCTTTGCACCCACGTGGGAGACCCAGGGGAAGCTCCTGGCTCTGGACCACCTCCACACCAACCAGAGCCCATCTGGGACCACGAGCCAGCGGCTGGAAGACATTTTTGTCTCTCCTCTCTCTGTAACTGACTTCTCTCCTTTTTTTTTTTTTTTTTTAGCATTTATTTATTTTTATTGCAAAATCAGATATTCAGAGAGGAGGAGAGACAGGAAGATCTTCTATCCGTGGATTCACTCCCCCAAAGTGGCCGCAACAGCCGGAGCTGAGCTTATTTGAATCCAGGAGCCAGGAGCTTCTTCTGGGTTTCCCATGAGGATGCAGGGTCCCAAGGTTTTGGGCTGTCCTTGACTGCTTTCCCAGGCCACAAGCAGGGAGCTGGATGGGAAGTGGGGCCACCAGGATTAAAACTAGGCCTGTATGGTATCCCTGTGCGTGCAAGGCGAGGACTTTAGCCATTGTGCCACTGTCCAGGCCTTGTAACTGACTTTTCAATCAAAAGAAATCTTAAAGGGTCCAGCACAGTGGCCTAGTGGCTACAGTGTTCGCCTTGAACGTGCCGGGATCCCATACAGGTGCTGGTTCATGTCCCAGCTGCTCTACTTCCCATCCAGCTCCCTGCTTGTGGCCTGGGAAAGCAGTCGAGGACGGCCCAACACTTTGGGACCCTGCACCCGTGTGGGAGACCTGGAGGAGGTTCCTGGCTCCTGGCTTCGGATCGACGCAGCTCTGGCCATTACGCTCAGTTGCAGAGTGACTCATCGGACAGAAGATCCTCCTCTCTGTCTCTCCTCCTCTATGTAGATATATCTGACTTGGCAATAAAAATAAATAAATCTTAAAAAGAAGAAGAAACCCACCAACACAACACCTGTCACCCGAGCTGCCTTGCCCAGGACAGGCCTGACTCAGCCTGCATTTTCAGTCTGCCTAAAGTCTTCTGGAAGCTTCCACTGCCTCCTGGAGCACAGCCAGGCCCCCAGCGTGCTGTGTGCTTGAGCATTTCCCCAGGAGCCCTGGCCCCAGCCTTGCAGATGGCACACCTGTGGGTAAGGTGCCGCCCCCAGCCGCTCCGCCCCGGCATTCTCCCCAGGCCGTCTGCCCCCAGCACGGACGACAGAGCCGAGGCCAAAGTCCATGGGCGTGCAGCTGCCCTGTGTGTGTGGCAGAAGGAACGCACTGAAGAGAAACCAAGACACCGAAAGGTGGCGTCAGCCGCCTAAGCTCCTTGGCCCCTGGCGAGTGAGCAAGGCCATGGACATCAGGGCTCCGTCCACACCGCTCACCACCCCACAATGCCCGGCCCAGGCCAGCAGCCATAGTGAGTCAGTAGGAGACTGGTCTCGGCCAAGGTCACAGGAAGGAGCAGGGAGCCCCTCACACAGGCACAGCCCTCACAGCTCTGCCTCTTGGGATCAGAGCTGGGGACGGGGCCAGGCAGGGAGAGTGGACATGCGGGGACTGGTGAGCGACCAGCAACAGGCTGCACCAGGCGCTGCACAGCCAGGCACACGTGTGCACACGCAGACACACGCACAGGCCCCTCCTGGATGCCAGGGCCTCACCTGCGCCCACCCCGCCCCCAACCGCCGGGGAATTCTAAGTGCCTGAAGGGTGACACGGTACTGCTGCTGCTGTTGCCAAAATTCACCCGCAGGACCCAGCTGGCTGCCCCCCCGCCCCCGCCAACTCCCCACCACCTCCCCAGAACAAGTGCGGGCCCTGGGGTCCTGTTCCCGCACAACAGTCACTGACTCCATGCAGGGAACGCAGACACAGGTTCCGGAGTGACGAGAGAGCCTCCTCCTTCCATTTTAGGCCCGAGCTGCCCTGCCAGCGGGCGCTTCCAGGCTTGGCTGCTCCTGGTAAAACCATCAACTCTATTTTTGCCTCGTGCACCTCAGCAGCAGGGTCCCGCAGCGCACGGCGGGGCCATCAGGCACGGGTCCCAGCAATGTCATTCTGCAAAATGCACAGGAAATCCCAAACGCCAGGGAAGTGGCAAGCGAGGGGACAGGCTCAGAACCCCCTCCTTTCCAATAAATAGTTTCTCCTCAACTTTTGCCTCCGAGGGGACCTGGACAGAACATCCGCCTCCTCCAGCCATCACATAACCTCATTGTTTTGTCTCTTCTTGTTTTGCTTGCACCAGACACAGCTCTAACATGCAAGCAGGCTCCGTGGAGACCCAGCTGGGGTGATCGAGCCCAAGTAGGGGAGTCTCCCGAATCAGGGTCAGGGACAGTTCTGGTGCTGACCACCCCCCAAGACTATCCCCACCCCCAAGCGGCTATAGCAACCTTGGGAATCTGAGCTCAGAGCTAGGCCACCAGACTAGAAATATCCAGGGGGACAGCTGGCCCTGCCAAGGAGGCCCAGACAAAAGGAGGGGGCTCTCCCCCCCAGCCAAATGGCGACCACCACCGGCAGGACAGGAGTGCCCAGACGGGCCGCAGCCCACTGCACCCCCACCTCCCCGCCAGCAACAGGCTTGCCTCAGAATCCACATGGCACTCTGCAAATTAAAATAATATGTACGGCCTTTCACAACTGCTTGGGCTTCCCGGGTCCGCCTGACCTCAGCCCCATCCTCCGGACACAGGACAAGTCGAAGAGAAAGTTCTGCACACTGTGTGTTCCACCGGGCACGGCAGTGTCTGTCCCCCACGCCACACCACGGACCATGTCACCCCCGGAACACACACACACACACACACACACACACACACACACGCAGCCCGCCTCGCGGTGGGACAATCTCTACAGCGGCCGGAGCATTTGGGACGCCGGGGCACCTGGCAGGTGGTAGCCGCTGGGCAACCGGCAGCCACCAAAATCAAAGGGGCAATCGCCACAGGCCGGGCGGCCCCGCGCTCCCAACTTTCTCCCTGAAACTTGACTCGCTCCTCGGAGCTCGCATCCCCCAGAGGCCTGGGCCGGTGTGGACCGAGCGCGGCCTCCCGCGGGGCGCAGTGCCGAGCGCGCCCCGGGACGCGGGCAGGTGAGGACCCGCCCGCGCCGCACCTGGCGGGGCAGGCGATGCAGGGGCGGCAGAGACAAAGGCCCCGCGCGCGCTCTGGGGACGGTCGGTGACCGGGTGTAAGTGCCGGATGGGGAGGGGGTGTCCACGGCGCGCGTCCCAACTCGCCCCCCAACTTTCCCAAGTGGCCTCCCGGGCCGCCCGAGCCGCCCGGCCATTGTCCGCCCGGCCCTGCCCGGCCCAGCCGGGTGTCCACCTACCCGTGGCGGGGGCCAGGCCGCAGCACAGCGCCAGCAGCAGCAGCAGCGGCGGCGGCGGCCGGGCCGGCCGGGGCGGCGCCGCCTCCATGTTGTCCGGCGGCCGGACGGGCCCGCGCGCGCTCACTCGGGATCCATGGCGCGGCGGCGCCTCCCGCCTCTCCCCCGCCCTCGGGCGCCGCGGGCCAGGACGGCGGGGAGGAGGAGGAGGGAGCAGGGCGCGCGGGAGCGGAAGCCACGCCGCGTCTCCGCCCCCCGCCGCCACCGCCTGCGCCCTCCCGCCGGCTCCCGGCCTCGCCGGGCTCGCAAACAGGTGTGTCACCTGTGGAGCCCGCCGTCAGGCCCCGACCTTGACGCGCGGGGAAACTGAGGCACGGGCGAGGCGGGGGGACCCGAGGGTTGGCGAGGTGAGGGAGGCGCTGTAGCCGCCTCCTCCAGAGCTGCAGGGTCCCGTCGCTGCCCAACCCCATGCTCCCCAAGCTGTAACACCGGCTCTCACTTGGGGAAGGCACTGAAACCCAAATGGCAGGGCCTGGTACCCGCCTGCCAAGGGGGCTTAGTGAGGGGAAAGCAAAAATAGTGGGCGCTCAGCTTGCTTAGGTGCCCATAAGGGGGCCCCAGGTGGGCTGGTGGCTGCAACTCGCTGGGTAAAGCTTGCCCGTTGCTCTTTTTGTAACCCCTGTGCCATGGGGGACGCCAGGGGATCCGGTAGAGAGGGAGAGAAGGCACTTTGGGGTGGAGTGGACAGAGGCACAGCTCTCACTCAGTCTCTGCCGCCTTTGCCTCCTTGGGCTGGTAGTGGGCAGTGCTCTCAGGGTGGGTCACCTCTCCCGTTAGAAGGGCAGGCAAGCGGGCAGTGGGAGTGGGCTGGAGGCTCACAACACATACCCTCCCCAAGGGATTGCTGAGGGTCCTGTAGGGGCCTGATGTGGGGCAGGGGAGGGGCAGGGCAGGGCAGGGAGATGGCCAGCCAGGGACAGGGGAGGAACAGGGAAGGAAGGGCAGACAGCCAGCCAGGAGCAGGGCAGTGGGTGGGGAGAAAAGGGGAGACACCAACAGCCAGGGCAGAAGGGGAAGGAAGGGGAGAGGGCCGGGCAGGGAAGGGCAGTGTGGGGAGGGCAGATGGCCAGCAGGGGCGGGCGGTGTACACCACGGCAGTGTTGAGTCCTGCAGGGTTCAGATGCTCTTGGAAGCCGTTCCCCCTGTATAAAGGGGGGCACCATGCAAGTGCCAGGACCCCCAGGAGGGCTCAGTGGGCTGATGGCAACACTGCAGACACAGGGAGGGGACGCCCAGCCACCTCGAAGGGGCTCCCATGCTTGCAGGGGAGAAATAGTCAGGAAGCCTCGCCTCCCCCCAAGGCACAGGGGCCAGGGCACCCACAACCTCGGATGGAGCCGGGTCACTCCCCAGATGACCACAATAGCCAAAGCCAGGCCAGGCTGAAGCCGGGGAGCCTGGGGCTCCATCCGGGTTTCCCACATGCATGCAGGGCACCCGACACTTTGGCCATCCTCTGCTGCTTTCCCAAGCACATTAGCAGGTGGCTGCACCAAAAGAGGAGCCGCTGGGATTTGAACCGGTGCCCATGGGGAGTGTGGGTGCTGCAGACAGCGGCTGCCCTCACTGTGCCACAGGGGAGCAGAGATTTCTGTTTGTTCCCTGCTGGGCCTAGATCAGGACCTGGTGTATAACACGAGCTAATGAGCGTTTGTTGAATGAACGAAGTGAACAGACATGATTTCCATTCGTAAAAAGGAGCTCTGGGAGGGCCAGCCGTGTGGCACACCAGACATTTAAGAGGTGAACCAGCGGATGGGAGAGAGTGTGTGTGTGTGTTTATTTACGTTTCAAATAAAACTGTTTGTGGAGAGCACTGTGCTTCCACAGGGGGGAACGCCTGTGGGTGGGTGTGGGTGACAGGAGAGCAGCAAGGGCTGCCGTGGCGGGGGAACGGGGGCTTTGATGTTGACAGGGTCCACTCGCGGCTCCCATGGGAAGACCAGCTCCGTGCGCTCAGGCCCCTGGCGGGGGAGAGGGAGTCCGCTGGTGGACCACAGAAGCAGTGGTCAGCATCAGGGCGGCGGCGGGGACGCAGAGGAGCCAAGGAGGAAGACTCTAAGGGGTCTCCAGTGACCCCCTCCTTCTCAGAGTGTGGCGAGGGGCCCCGGCCAAGCTTCCGGGTTTCCAGCCCCAATGGGAACCTTGGCACACCTCAAGGTGTGGAGGGATCAGAACCCCTCCGGGGCCGTACAGGGTGCTGGTCACGCTTGGATGTCCAGACCCCGCAGTAACGGGCAGGCAGCTGGGCACGGCTTCCACAGGGGGCACTGCCCAGCCATTCCTCAGGCTCACCTGACACGAGCCACTGCCTCGCCCGTGGACGGATGCAGTGAGGAGCACTTCGCAGCTCCCTGCTCAGTGGCGTGGGAAGGAGCTGACCCCAGGGTGACTGTGGGCCCCTGAGCCTCAGTGCTCTTCCCGAGGCGACACTCGCCCCAGCAGCAGCTGGGACAAGGCCACCTGGCCAGGGGTGGCAGGCACTGGAAGGCTCCCTGGGCAGCAGGCTGGGCTTCCATGGAGCCGGCACACAGGCTGGCCGTCTCCGCTCAAACCTGTTTCTCCATTGTAGAACAGACACGGCGTGACCTGCTGGACATTCAACCTCCCATAGCTCCCGCGGACCTCATGCGGGCCTGGGAGGAGCATGTGGGGGACGCAGGCCCATGTCGGGGCGTGGTGGCCCGGCTGGCACGGCTGTCCTCCCCATGGACCTTGGATTCTTTTGTTTTTGTTTTTTTTTAAGATTTATTTAATTTCTATTACAAAGTCAGATATAGAGAGAGGAGGAGAGAGAGAGAGGAAGATCTTCAGTCGGATGAGTCACTCCCTGAGTGACAGCAACGGCTGGAGCTGCGCGAATCCAAAGCCGGGCACCAGGAGCCTCTTCCAGGTCTCCCACATGGATGTAGTGTCCCAAGGCTTTGGGCCATCCTCGACTGCTTTCCCAGACACACCAGCAGGGAGCTGGATCAGAAGTGGAGCAGCCGGGATTTGAACCAGTGCCCTTGAGATACCAGGACTACATACAGAGGATTAGCTTGCTGTGCCACCAGACCCTCCCCTAAATCAGTTTTTTTTTTTTTAATTTATCTATTTTTATTGGAAAGCCAGATATCCAGAGAGGAGGAGAGCCAGGTGAAGACGATGCAGGAACCAGAAGGATGTGGTCTTGAGACGGAGGACCACCTGGAGCCCAAAGCCGGAAGCGGCAGCTGGCCCCACTTCCCTGATGTAAGGAGCGATTTGGAGGTCGTCATGGAGACTGAGACCCTGCCTCCCTGGACCCGGAGCCATTTTCTCTTCTTCAAGGCTCATGAGATGCACACCGGTTCACCTGTTCACCAGTCAGGCAACCCGGCCTCACCTGAGAGCCTCGCCCCCCTCTCCCAGCCCTTCCCAACCCCACCCACTGACCAATGATCCTCAGACATTCACTTGCAGGCACCAATCCCTGGGGCCCGCCCTTAATCCCTCCCAAGCCCATCCCCTGTGCCTGGCTGCCTCAGCTGAACACCAGGAGCCCCAGGAGCCTATATCCGCCCTTCCCTCACCACCCTTCCACTCTCTCGCTCTTCCACCACCACGCCACTGTTCCACCTCCTTGCCCTTCCCGTTCCTGCCCCGCTGGAGGTACCTCCATGGCCCCTTTTCCTCGCCGCCCTTCCACCACCTCGGTCCTTCCCATTCCTGCCCCGCTGGAGGGAACCTGAAGTGCCTCCTTGCGTCTGGTGTCGTGGCTGATGGTAAGAGGACCAGGCTGCGGGAATCAGCTAGTGTAATAACGTTAGAACTCTGTTTCAAAAGAACTAACATTTGGTTCCCTGCTCCCCCACCCCCACCCCCGGCACTTGGCCACCTGCGGCCACTACTAGGACCCGATTCATCCGTGAGAACCCGTCACTCTTCAGCTATTACTGACTTCATCTGCGCCACCGGGACTTATTGGCGGCCGTCGGGAATCCATCCCGTCTGCCCGCTGGTTCCAGAATTCCCCTCCCACGGCCTGTTCCCGACTTTGTCTTCAACTGCCCGCTCCAGAGCTCTACTCCACATGGCCGTTTCTGAATCCACCTACACCTGGCCGTGCTGTCTCCATCCAGACGCAGGCTGGGGTACTCCATGCCCCCCCGCGGAGCACAGGAGGTGTTGCCCCTCTTCCCGAAGGCTCAGCTGCTGCATGCATGCGCTGTTACGGGTGGGGTTCCTCCCTCAGCCCCTGGAGTTGTGGGTGCGGCTTGGTGGTTAGCTCTGCTTTTTCACTCCTAGGAGACAGGCTCTGTAAACCCCTTCCAGGTGCCGTGTCCCTTAGGGGCGGGGGGTCCCTGTAGCTCCAGGTCGGGCCACTGCGCTGGGTTCATGACTTTAGACACAGCTGGCCTTTTGGGCCCTGGCTCGTCCCTTCCACAGGGGGTGACGACCCTTTACGAGAGCCATTTTTCCTCCACCACAGGGTTGGATGGATTTTTTTTCACGTTTTACAAATAACAATTTTATTTCCAAATTCTGTACTATAGCCAAGTTACAATCACCTCTAGGTCTGTGTTGCTGCTTTACATAAGAAGGAAAAAAGACACGGTCACAACCCAGTCCCTCACACATCCGGCATCTCAGAATGGCCTGTGTGCCCAACACGGACCCGGCCACCTCCCGCTGTCCACTCCCCACCTCCCGCCCTGAGGAGCATCTCCCTGTCCTGTGGCAAGGCCCAGCCGGCCAGCAACGGCCCGGGGACAGTCTGCAGGTGGGAGAGCGTTGTCCCGCAGAGCACACAGCACCCAGCACGGCTGCCGTCCCGTCCCGCGCGGCCTAGGCTCAGAGCCCAAAGCGGGCTGGCGTGTGGCGAGACGTCCCCGGCTCCCCCTGCTCCTTCCGACCCGGCGTGTAGATCTTCTTAGACCTGGTAGTGGCCAAGGGCCAGCGCTTGTCCCGCTCCTGCCGCCACGCTCGCAGCTGCTCCTCAGCCAGCGCCATCTCCTCCTCCATGGCACAGGCTTCCTCCCTGGCCCGACGGCGGTTCTCCTGCCGCGACCCGCCCGGCCCTTTCACACTGTAGAACATGGGGCCCAGCTCCGCCAGCCACTCGCCGTCCACAGCCGTCACGCACTGCACGTACTCCTTGGTGGTCATGACCAGCTCGTGATAGACTATGTAGTCCGGCGTGTCGCCCATTCCAAAGAGGGAGCTGGTGGGGCGCAAGCGGCAGGGCGTGCCCGTGCGGATGTTCACGTACTCCCCAGTGCCCTTGAGCTTGGCCGCCTGGTGGAAGTAGGCGGCACAGATGCACTTCCTGACAGTGTCCCAGTCAGTGCCACACGAGGCCAGACTCATCCGCTGCTGCGCCATGATGTCCTTGAGCTGGGCCCTCACCTCGCGGGCCTTGCGCATGGCCTTGGCGTGGATGAAATGGTCGTTACACCAGACGGTGGAGTAATTGCTGTTCTTCCACTGCAGGTACACATTCAGGTAGGTCAGATGGTCGCTCTCGGGGACGGCAAACTTCTCCCGCACCTGATCGCTCTCCTCCTCTCGGCCCCTGGGCCTGTGGAAGATGGTGGGGACGGAGAGCATGGAGACGACGAGCAGGATCTCGGAGCTGCAGCCCATGTGACAGGACACTATGAGCATCTTGGACAGGGCCGGGTCCAGCGGGAACTCCACCATCAGCCGCCCCGTGGAGGTCAGAGCGCCCGTGCTGTCCAGGGCCCCCAGGATCCAGAGCTGGTACATGGAGTTGAGTATGTTGTCCTCGGGCGGTGGGTCCATGAAGTGGAACTGCAGCAGGTCCCGCACCCCGAGGGACTTGAGCAGCAGCACCACGTTGGCCAGGTTGGTCCTCTGGATCTCGGGCACGGTGCTGGTCAGGAGCTCCTTCTTGTAGGCACTCTGGGTGTAGAGCCTGAAACACTGGCCTGGGCCTGTCCGGCCAGCTCGCCCCGCCCTCTGCTTGGCGTTGGCCTGGCTGATGGGGTAGACTTGCAGGGCGTCCATGCCGATCCTGGGGTTGAAGACCTTTAACTTGCAATAACCGGAATCGATGACAAACACGATGCCGTCGACGGTCAGAGAGGTCTCGGCGATGTTGGTAGCCACGATACACTTGCGAACGCCATCTGGAGCCTTCTGGAAGATTTTGGCCTGCAGGTCGGAGGGCAGCTGGGAGTAAATGGGCAGCACGGCCAGGGCGGGCACGTTCTCCAGCTCCTGCAGACGCGCCACAATCTGCTCGGAGGTGACCTCGATGTCCTCTTGGCCAGGCAGGAAGATGAGGATGTCCCCGGGGGCCCCGGACAGGTGCACTTGCAAGGCCTGCCTCACGGCGGCCTCCACGTAGTCCTCCTGCGGGGTCTTGCTGAAGAGGACGTCGACGGGGAAGGTCCGCCCGGGGATGTGGAAGACGGGAACGTTCCCAAAAAAGGCAGCAAATCTGTCTGCGTCCATCGTGGCCGAGGTGACGACGAGCTTCAGGTCCGAGCGCCGAGCCACGACCTCCCGGAGCAGCCCCAAGAGCACGTCGGTGTGGAGGGAGCGTTCATGGGCCTCGTCCATGATGATGGCGCTGTAGCGGTCCAGGTCGGCCTCGCGGAGGGATTCGCGCAGCAGGACCCCGTCGGTCATGTACTTGATCAGGGTGTTCCCGGAAGTGCAGTCTTCGAAGCGAATAGCGTAGCCCACCTCCTCGCCCAGCTTTGCCCCCATCTCTTCGCTGACCCTCTTGGCCACAGACATGGCGGCCACACGCCGGGGCTGGGTGCACCCGACCATCCCGTAGTCCGTGTAGCCGTCTTCATGCAGGTACTGGGTCAGCTGTGTGGTCTTGCCGCTCCCTGTCTCGCCCACCACGATCACGACGCTGTTGTCCCGGATGGCAGTGAGCAGCTCCTGCCGCACGGCGAAGATGGGCAGGTACTGCCTCTGCTCCCGGATGGACTTCTTGGTGGCAAACTCGCTGCTGGCTTCGCTCTGCTCCCTCACGTGGCTGGCAAACTGCTGCTCTGTCCTGTAGTCCACCTGCCCGACCTGTGTCGGAGCTTTGTCGGGCTGCTCCTCTTTCAGGACACCCATGATCGCTCCCAGCTTGGTCCCGGCCAGCTCCCAGTGTCTGCGCTGAGCCCTTCTGCGCTCCTCTTGTTCTCTGTGCTTCCGGACCGTTTGGCTGCCTTTCCGGGCAATGATGGCGAGGTCCGAGGTGGCGTCCTTGACTGGAATCACGGGCTCTGGCTGCTTGGTGAAGACGATGCGCCCGTCCAGAAAGGGCGGCACCAGGCTGTGCACCATCAGATGCACCTTGGCCGCGCTGTCCTCCGCCAAGTCCACGTGCGCCTCCAGCCGCCGCACCACCCCGCTGGTGAGCATGCGGTTCATCTCCCAGCGCTCATTATCCTGGCTCCTCTGTCTCCCCTGAGCCGAAATGCGCTTCTGCTTCTGCAGCTGCTGCTCGCGCCTGCGCTCGTAGTCCTCCGAGGACGAGGCCAGGGGGTCGTGCAGCTCGCAGTAGCCCTCGTCCATCATGTACCAGTCCCGGTCGGCTTGCCGCTGGGCGTCCTCCCACTGCTGCCGCTCCTCCTCTGTGTGGAAGGAGCTGCCCTGCTCCCCATCCTCGCGCCTTCCTCGGCCCCTGGACAGACGCGGGGTGGAGCCCAGGTGTCTCCTGTCGTCGGCCCACTCGTTGTATTTGTAGGAGGGGGTTGGCAGAGGCGTGTCGTCTGAGTCCCGCTGTCGGGAGGACGGCCGGTGGCCCCCCTCGGAATCCCGGTAGGATGGCATTGGAGAGGGCGATTCCCACTGCCAGTGCCTGGAGGAGCCGTGGCCGCGGTCCTCCTCCTCCTCCTCCCACGTGGACCTGGAAGGGGTGGCTGCGTCTTTGGGGCGTGGGCGCTCTGGTTCGTTCCTGCTGCGGCTGCGCCTGCTTCGGGCCTGCTCGTCTCTGTCTCTCTCGCGCTCATAGTCTCCATCGCGCGGTGTCTCCTTCCTGCGAGCCTTTTCTCTGGAGGAGGCGTAGACCCCGTGTTCCCGCCGCTCCCGCGCTCTCTGCCGACTGCGTTCCCTAAAGTCCTCGCTCACTCCGCCGGGGTGGGATGGCGTCTCGACCCGAGCAGAGCGGTAGTGCCTGTCCTTCCAGCTGCTGCGGCCAGCCTGCTCGCCGCCCTGCTGCTCGGCGCCCTTCTGCTGCTCCTCGCTCTCTTCCCAGGCCTTGTCGGAAGAGATGCGGGGCTTCTTGCCCTCCCGCTCGACCTGCTCCTCGCGCTCTCTCCGTTTCAGGGAGGCCAGCAGGTCCAGCCCCAGGCGTGAAGGGCGAGGCCCGGGCGCCTTCAAGACGTGCTGCTCCATGGCTGCGTTTCTGGTCCTGCGGATGAGACCGCCCACCTGAGCGGCCAGGTCAGCGCCTTCCAAGCGGTGGGTCGAGGCGTCCTCGCCGGCGTCCTCCATCCCAGCAAGCGCAACTGGAGCCCTGGAGAGCAGGAAGGGAGCGCTCAGACAGCCTCGAAGGGCCACAGTCCGCACCCTGACAGCCCAGCATCACCTAAGAGCCTCACCCCTCTCCCAGCCCTTCCCCACCCCGCCCACTGACCAATGATCCTCAGACATTCACTTGCAGGCACCAATCCCTGGGGCCCGCCCTTAATCCCTCCCAAGCCCATCCCCTGTGCCTGGCTGCCTCAGCTGAACAAGGAGCCCCAGGTGCCTGAAGCTGCCCTTCCCTCGCCGCCCTTCCACCTCCTCAGTCCCTTCCTGGACCTCCCGCTGGAGGTGCCTCCATGTCCCCTTTTCCTCGCCCCCCTCCGGTGTTGCCCCACTGGAATAAACCTCCTCCAGTGTGTCTTTGTCTGGTGTTTTCAGCTCATGGTGAATGAGCCAGGCTGCGGGAATTAGCTGCACATAAGAACGTAAAAACTCAAACTGTTTAAATAACTAACACCTGATGCAGAGCCTTCCAGAAGGCCGGGCTGGTTTCCTCCACGGCTCTTCCACTCCACGATGGTGAGGTTGCAAAGCAGGAGTGAAGACCAAGCATGCCGGGAGTGCCAGGGGCCGAGGTCTGTCCTCAAGAGATGGCAAGTGGCGCTGGAGGAGGAGGGGCGAGGAAGACCAGTTCCAGGGCCTGAAGCCAGGATGGGAAGCAGCCGAGCCCAAGCCCCAGGGCACAGCGAGGGGCAGCGAGGGACAGCAGCTGGCCTATGAGGGGACAAGCGGGACAGGAGAGGAACCAGGCAGGCCAGCTCACGGTCACGGCCAAGTTCAAGATGAAAGCCACCCCTGGAAGCAGAGGCGGCAACGGTGGGAAGTGCCGGATTTCAGGTCTCCGATGGCAGCTGGGCCATGCCAGCTGTGCCTGGACTGAGAGAAGGAGGCACTGGGCACCAGATCTTCCCATGAGACCTCTGGACACAGGAGCCCCTGGGAGAGTTCCTTTGATGGCCCCCTGGGAGCAGGGTGGGGGAGGGCAGTGGAGGCCCAAGCTGACCCAGAGCCAAGCCTGGTGGGCCTGGCACCCTAGGGGGTCAGGACCCTGGGACCGTGACACAGCCATGCCTGGACCCTAGGGAGGATGGCAGGTGGACACTTGAGGCCTGGAATGCGGCCGCCAGCTCTGGGTACAAAGACAGACTCGGCCAGCGACTGGTGTTCCTGACCCCGAGGCGGGCAGCTCTGAGGCAGGAGAGTTTTCAGGGGGTTTTCCTGAGGGCCTGGGGCACCCTGGCATCCCTCTTTGACCACTGTCCAAGGCTATGAAGCTCCTGGGGAAGGGGCAGGGAGGGGCCTCTAGTGCCAAAACAGCCACGTGCCAGTGGCAGCCACCAAAGCTCTCAAGTTCATTGGAAGCCATGCCCCTCCCATCATCCAGCAGGACTGGGCGTTAAGGCAGGAAAGCCCAAGTGAGGGGCGTGGGGCCAGCTGGGCCGCTCCTCTCTCCCTGCTCCTGGTCCTCCCAGCTCAGCTGTCTCAGCTTCCTTGGGGATGGGGCTGGGGGAGGCAGGGTCAGGACACAGGAAAGGGCCAGAGCTGGAGGACAAAAGGGGTCCCAGACCGGGCACGCCACTGAGAAGCTATAAAGCACACCTCAATCACCAATGTCAAGTGCAAGAAATAGGTGTGTGTGTGTGTGTGTCGGGGGGGTGGGTCTGGCACAGTAGCCTAATGGCTAATTCTCGCCTTGCATCTGCTGGGATCCCATATGAACGCCGGTTCAAGTCCCGGCTGCTCCACTTCCCATCCAGCTCCCTGCTTGTGGCCTGGGAAAGCAGTCGAGGACACCCCAAACCTCAAGACCCTGTACCTGTGCGGGATTCCTGGAAGAAGCTCCTGGCTCCTGGCTCCTGGCTTTGGATTGGCGCAGCTCCAGCTGTGGCAGCCACTCGTGAATGAGCAGACAGACAATCTGTTCTTCTCTCTGTATGTCTGGCCTTCCAACCAAATAAGCCAAAGTGGAGTAGAGGCCTCAGTCTTTATGGACCGAGGGTTATTGGATCAAGGGAGGAGGTGCTGGGCTTATCAACAAATCCCATCAGGTGTTTGCATACTCTTGTTTGGAACCGAGTGTTCCATCCCCTTGCTGTCCACTCGGCTGTTCTTACAAAGGAATCCAATCAGTCGCACGGACCGCACCCATCCAGTGTTTTCACACAAGTATTATGCTAGCAGTTGTAATCCTGGGCTCACGGTGTCCTTCTGCAGTGAAGGGAGAATGGCATGGCCTCTGCAGGTCCCACAGCTCAGTTCTTCAGATGCCTCCCACCCCTGGTGTGGGATTAAGCCCCAGGAGTGTGGGTTCTAGTCCCAGCTGCTCCACTTCCCATCCAGCTCCCTGCCTGTGACCTGGGAAAGCAGTGGAGGACGGCCCAAAGCCTTGGACCCTGCACCCTTGTGGGAGACCCAGATGAAGCTCCTGGTTCCTGGCTTCCAATCGGCTCAGTTGAGGCTGTTGTGGCCACTTGGGGAGTTTACCAGTGGATGGAGGATATTTGTCTCTCCTTCTCTCTGTGTATCTGCCTTTCCAATAAAAAATTGAAGATAATAAATATTTTTGAACAATAAATGAAATCTTAAAAAAAAAAAAAAAAGGCCAGGGCTGGCCCAAGCTGAAGCCAGAAGCCTGAGGCTCCACCCGGCTCTCCCACACGGGCCTTTGCTCGCAGCCTCCCTGGCATCCATGGGTGGCATGCTGTCAGGATCCAGGCAGTGTAGCGTTGTAGGTGGGTGCCCTCAGCAGCCAAGCCTTGCTGCCTGCTGCCACCCTCACATACAAAGGGCATGAGTGCTCCCTTTTTTTTTCTTTTTAAGATTTGTGTATTTTTATTGGAAAGGCAGATTTACAAAGAGAAAGAGAGACAGAAAAATCTTCTGTCCAATGATTCAGTCCCCAAGTGACCGCAACGGCCGGTGCTATGGCGATCTGAAGTCAGGAGCCAGAAAACTCTTCCGGGTCTCCCACGCGGGTGCAGGGTCCCAAGGCTTTTGGGCCGTCCTCGACTGCTTTCCCAGGCCACAGGCAGGGAGCTGGATGGAAATCCGGGCAGCCAGGACACAAACTGGTTTCCACATGGAATCCTGACACCTGGAAGGGGAGGATTTAATCATTGAGGAGCCATCCCATCGGGCCTAAAGATGCTGCCTTCTTAAAGAAACATGGTGAAAAATAAAAAAAGAAAGAAAGATGGTGTCCTTGGCTCTGCCGCCTCCGCCCTGCACTGCCCACCTCCCTGCCCGGGCCCCTGGTCCCTGCAGCTCCCCCTGCTGTGTTCCCTTTACCAGCACAGGCTCCAGGTGTGTGGGCACCCAGCCAGTGACTCCCAGCCTGGGGCCAGGAACCGGGTTGGGTGGGTATATACGGGGAAGGGGACCTGTGGGTGAGGACGCTTGCAGGGGCAAGCAGCTGGACGAGCCGTCCTAAGCCTGGCACGAGGGGACTTCCTGAGGGTCCCCCTCCGCCTCAGGGCACACAGCGGGCACCCTCTCCACACTCCACAATGACAGAAGCGTCAAGGGCTCCTGAGACAGGAGGGGGTGGCAGGCGGGCCTGCGGGTGGCAGGGCTTGTCCAGTTGTCTTGGGTCTCTGATGTCCCCTTACCATAGAGGGGACTGGTTGAGATCTGCCACCCCAGAAGGGGCTCCACTCGCATCCGAGGGCACCGGTAGGGGCATGGGCGGTGGGCGCTGCCGGATGCGCTCTCGTTTTGGGGGGACTCCAGGGATACCCTCTGAGTCCCCGTAGAGCAGCGGCCAAGCCGGGGCGGCGGCAGGTGACCCCACACCCCAAGGACTTGGGCACTCCGGGGCCTCGGCTGCAGTGCGGCGCGCGGCCACGCGAGGGCAGCCGCCGCCGGCCCTGTGCAGGTCCCCAGCCACCGCCCCCTCCTCCGCGCACTTGACCACCGGAAACGTCTCCCCTGCGGTCCGAGGGGCTGCACGGCCGGGCAGCAGGAGCAGGGTCCGGCCCGAGGGCGTCGGGGGCGGTCAAGGTTGCGATGAAGAGCCAGGGAGCTCCTAGACCGCCGGACAGGGTCGGCCTCTCTTGACCTGCCACCCTCACTGTGGCCATGCTATGGGACCTGAGTGACCCTCTGTCTAACCCTGTGGAACCCGCAGGAGCCGGGTGGAGCTGAGGTCAAGGCCAGGGTGTCCAGGGTGTCCAGGGCCTGGGCTGGCTCAGCCTCTGGGACTGGTCACAACCCAGCAGGTGTGCCCAGGTGGCCAGAGTGTCTGCAAGAACCAGGGAGTCCCGCCCTGCTCCTCCACCCACTAGCCCTCCTGGCTGCTGGGTCAGCCCAGGGCCTGCACTGTCCTGTCCCCTCTGCCCAGCCCTCCCCAATCACCACCTCTGTTTCCTGAGCCTCCCACTGGCTTCCTAGGGTCTCCCACATCCGCCTATGCACGGCCAAGGGCGGTGGAAGGGCACTGGGTCAGCGGTCCTGTTCCACCCCTGCCCACAGGGTTGCCAGTTTCCTGGGCAGAAAAGCTCCCCTGTGAGCCTGGCCTGCCCCTTGGCAGGGTCTTAGGACCCTTGGCCACGGGTAAACAGGCTGGGGTGGGGCAAGAGGGACATAGCCACAGTCTCCCCACACCTTGTACCTTAGCCAGCCCCGATAGGCCGAGCTATGCTGTTGCTGATGGCCGGGCGCAGCCCCGTGTGGGCTGAAGCCGAAGGTAGAAGAGGCAGGCCAGGCCCCGGTGCTCCTTGCTTTGGTTGAAGGAGTTTCGCTCTGTGTGTGCTCTCTGCAGGAGAGTTGGAAAACAGACAGAGGGGCAGGCGGCTGGCCTGTTGGCCAAGTTGCCCTGAGTCCAGCTCCCAGGCATGCAGTCCAGGCAAGCCAGTGGTGATGGTCTGTCCCTGTCACACACGAGGGAAGCCTGGGTTGAGTACCCACTTCCAGCCCTGGCCCCGGCCACGGAGGACACGTGGCCCGCTCCGAGCCCCGGCCCCGGCCAC